TTAGCATAGTACAATATCAGTATTATATATTACTATATTGTACTATATTGTAATATTATTAGTAACATTACATGTAATGTAAATATATAATTATAGTTTTATATTCGGCTTAACTTAAAAATGTAGTAATGAAATATAGGAATTTGGATTCAGGTCATGATTCAGATCATCTGTCACAGGAGTCGTCAGTTGAATGCACAACAAAACATCCACATCCACGACAGACCTAAACTCCACATAAAGCATTTGAATTTGGTTCAGTAAAATATCCCCTATCTTGATGATGTAGTTTTTTTTTGTTTTAGTTAGTAACCATGTTGTAATACTTTCTTTCAGAGAGATATATATAGTCTTTTGTTTATTTTTGGTTTTATTGTAGTATAAAAGTCTGTTTTGCTTTTTGTTGCTAAGCTGAAAATGCTCCTAGAGGCTGCTAAACTTCAAAGAATTTGGTTCTCTGATTTTTACAGCATACTAGGCTATAGTTATGAATAATTATATATAATTTTCCTTTCATCTTTAGTTGGTTGGTTGGTTTGGAAGAACTTACTCATTGTGCAATATATTGTACATTGTTGTCATTTAAATCCCAGCTGTAACAATTAACCTTATTCCTCGAAGCTATTTCATCTGCAGTACTATAATAAGTGTGGAAGTATTGCTATGCCTATTCTTTTCAGCTCTGTGAGCATTCTTACACATCACAGCACAGCACATGCTATGGTGAGAGTTGTTGTAATCCAGCATGTTGTGATATGCAATCCCGCCTCCTCTAACGCCAAGAAAGAACAGTGGATCAAGCTGATCACAGAGGTCGACATGGGCAGGAGCAGCCAGAAGGATCCTGAGCTCTGAGGATTACCTGGGAAGGAATCCCACTGGAGCATTGCAGCACACCCAAATACCTGGGAGTCACTCTGGACCGTGCTCTGACCTACAAGAAGCACTGCCTGAACATCAAGCAAAAAGTGGGTGCTAGAAACAATATCATACGAAAGCTGACTGGCACAACCTGGGGATCACAACCAGATACAGTGAAGACATCTGCCCTTGCGCTCTGCTACTCTGCTGCTGAGTACGCATGCCCAGTGTGGAACACATCTCACCACACTAAAACAGTGGATGTGGCTCTTAATGAGACATGCCGCATTATCACAGGGTGTCTGCGCCCTACACCACTGGAGAAATTACACTGCTTAGCCGGTATTGCACCACCTGATATCCGCCGGGAAGTGGCAGCCAATAGTGAAAGGACCAAGGCAGAGACATCTCCAGCTCATCCCCTGTTTGGGTATCAGCCAGCACGTCAACGACTTAAATCAAGACATAGTTTTCTTAGATCTACAGAGACACTCGCTGGAACACCTCAGCAAGCGAGAGTCCAAAAGTGGCAGGCCCAAACCCAGCACCTCAATCCGTGGGTGATACCAGATGAGAGACTCCCCCCTGGGCACACAGAAGACTGGGCGACTTGGAAGGCACTGAACAGACTGCGCTCTGGCACCACGAGTGCGGAGAAGAACAAACCACTGACCACCTGCTGCATGCAACCTGAGCCCTGCCACATGCACATGGAGGACCTTCTTGCGGCAAAATCAAGAATTAGTTTTCTTAGATCTACAGAGACACTCGCTCGAACACCTCAGCAAGCGAGAGTTCAAAAGTGGCAGGCTCAAACCCAGCACCTCAATCCGTGGGTGATACCAGATGAGAGACTCCCCCCTGGGCACACAGAAGACTGGGTGACTTGGAAGGCGCTGAACAGACTGCGCTCTGGCACCATGAGATGCAGAGCCAATCTTAAGAAATGGGGCTACAAAGTTGAATCCACGACATGCGAGTGTGGAGAAGAGCCAACCACTGACCACCTGCTTACCTCTCCGAACGCATCTCCCCCTATGAACCGGCGAGGATGTTAAGATCGTCCGGGGAGGCCCTGCTCTCGGTCCCGCCAGCGTCACAAGTGCGGCTGGCGGGGACGAGGGACAGGGCCTTCTCGGTGGTGGCCCCTCGGCTATGGAATGCACTACCAGCGGAGATCAGGCAGGCCCCTTCGCTATTGGCGTTTAGGAGGCGGGTTAAGACGTGGCTCTTCGAACAGGCGTTCGGATAAGCATGCAATAACATCTGACTCAGATAGACGGCATACTGAACAAGGAATGGTAAAACGACTGTGAGATTGGATCTGATTCTATTCGAGGCGTGATGACGTTATGTGTATTGTTTGTCGATGTTTGTCTCATGTATTGTTCAATGTTGCACATTTTTACTGTAAACCGCTTAGAGTCGCCTTTTCTGGCTGATATAGGCGGTATACAAAAGGAGTAAATAAATAAATAAATAAATAAATAAATAAGAGCAAACCACTGACCACCTGCTGCAATGCAAACTGAGCCCTGCCACATGCATGATGGAGGACCTTCTTGCGGCAACACCAGAGGCACTCCAAGTGGCCAGATACTGGTCAAAGGACATTTAATCAGCTACCAAGTTTGCAAAATTTGTGTTGTTTTTTTTAATCTGTTTGATTTGTTCTGTTAGAAATGTAATACAATGTTCTGGTTGTGGATGACACGATAAATAAATAAATACCTCCTCTAACAAGCCATGTTTTGTTAACTAGGCACAAAGCACAATCTAAATCCCTGATTTGTCTTTGGCTTGCAAACATTTGTCATGGCTCCCAAACCCATAAACATAGCTTGTCTCTGGTTTGTTTGTTTTTTTAAACTCTCCATTGTGAAAGACGGGCAAAGAGCACAAGATTGACAAACCAGAAATGAGGAAGACACCTAATTTCTGGTTTGGTCATCTCCTGTCGAATTCATGGCTTAAGCAATGGACTCTAGCTAATAAACACTATGGTTTATCATGGCATGCTGTGCCATGATAAACACGTTTTGTTGAGTAGTCATTAAAGCAGATTATCTTCTCTTCACCACGTTCTAGTGTGTGATGGTGTAAGAACATAAGATATCGCCTTCTACTGTAATTTACCAACAGCTCCTGTACTTTAGCACTGCACCCTGCCCTATAGACTTGGCACTTTAATGCCAAATGATATTAATCCTTCCAGCCCTAACTTTATTGGCTTTTGCACTTCTCCATGAGTCCTGTCCTGAAACTATTGCACAAACTCTTTGCCCTCCGAGCTCAGTATTTATTACTGTCCAGGCTAGGGATTGTTTTTATGATGTTGTGGAATTGTGAAGTGTTTATTTTATTTTTGTTTATATTTATTTCATTTCTGATTTTATTTTTTTAAAGAAATTTTATTAAATTTTATATAGAATACAATGAAAGAGTGAGAACAATAAGGTATAGGAAAGTGAAGAAAGAAAGAGAAAGGCCAATAAAGTAAAAAATAAAAAGGATATCCTAAATAAAACCCTTAAAAATATAAACTACAAAATACATCCACACACACACACACAAAAGGTGACTTCCATTCCATCTTCTTGGAGAAAATATTCTTATTATTGAAAAATATAATTTTTTTTATTAAAGATAATAAAATTGTCTCTCTTGTTTCTTATTTTCGCAAATTGTCCAAATAGTCATGAAGATTGTCCCAATTTGTTCTTTTTATTATCATGCCTGTATTTTTCTTCAACAAAAAAGTCAATTCGTCCATGTCCTTTATTTCTCTGATTTTTTCCACCCAATCCTGTACGGGTGGTACTGAGCCATGCTTCCACTCTCTAGCAAAAACGATTCTAGTGGCGGTTGTAATATATGTAAAAAGTTTGTCCTCTTGTTCCGTCAATTGTAAATCTAAATCTATAAAGCCTAACAAGTAATACTCTGGTTTCCTTGTAAAAGTTCATTTTAAAATCTTTTGCGTCTCTTCATGAATTACCCTCCAAAACTTTACTGCTACTTTACAAGTCCACCACATATGGTAGAAGGAACCCACTTTTTCTGAACATTTCCAACACTTATCACAAGCTGTTTTATACATTTTAGCGAGTTGTTTCGGTGTGGTATACCATTTGTGGAACATTTTTATCCAATTTCCTTTTAAGTCCGTTGCATATGTATATTTTAATTTTTTGTTTGTTTATTTATTTATTTAAAAGTTTTATATACCGGCCTTCTCACCTCTCTTGAGGGACTCAGACCGGTTTCCAACCATAATATCACATACAGTTAATAAAAACATAATAATTCATTTTACACTAAAACATTAAAACAGCAATTACATTCAATAACTACAATGGTCAGTCGTCACACTAACTCGTTGTTCATCATCCTCCATCCATATCTGGCTCACTCGTTGAATGCCTGTCTCCATAACCAAGTCTTCACCTGTTTCCTAAATGTCAGGATAGACGGGGCTGTTCTGATCTCCAGTGGAAGAGAGTTCCAGAGTCGAGGGGCCACCACCGAGAAGGCCCTGTCCCTCGTCCCCACCAGACGCGCTTGCGAGGCCAGTGGGACCGAGAGCAGGGCCTCTCCAGACTATCTTAATAATCTTGATGGTTCATAGGGGAGAATACGTTGTTCCACATCTGTTCCCACTCCCTCATTTGAATTAGTCTTCTTGTATTTTGAGCCCACTTTATCATACAGTTTTTAACCTGTTCTTTTTCAGTCAGCCAGGTAAGTAATACATTTCTGATTTTATTTTATTGCGTTGTGTTTTAACTTGTTTTTCCAGACTTGTCCCTATGTAAGCCACCCTGAGTCCCTTCGGGGAGATGGAGGTGGGGTATAACGTTATTATTGTTGTTGTTGTTGTTGTTATTATTATTATTATTATTATTATTATTATTATTATATTGCTATTTCAACAAAAAATCTGTATAATAAACTATCTTAAGTATGAGATTACTATTTTTTTCTCACATATTAACTGGTATTTTAAAGATTTCTTTCTTTCCTTTTTAATCATGTTTTGCTGACAAACAATGGCATTTCTGTGTCATTGAGTCTCCGTACACTTCAGTGTATTCACATCTTAACAATAATGCCTTGCATTTAATTTTTATTCCAAACAGATATATGGAGTGATCATTCATTTCAGACAGACCCCGACCTACCTCCAGGCTGGAAAAAGATCAGCGATGTTGCTGGGATCTATTACTGGCACATACCAACAGGGACAACACAGTGGGAGCGTCCAGTATCCATACCAACAGATCTTCAGGGATCACGCAAAGGATCACTCAGTTCTATTACATCATCTCCCACTCCTGAAACTGAGGTAAAGTTGTTCTGAGTTCAGGTGCAGGTAGAAAATATTGTATATTAGTAAATTAAATAAATGGCTTTCATAGATATCAAATCAATGATTAAAACATTAAAACAACATACCAGGAATATACTAAAATTCTACTAGAGTATAGGAAATTAACAGAATATGCTAAGTTAATAGAAATAAATAGAACATCTATTTTAAACAACTATATTGTAAAAGAATATGCATATGCTAAGAATACTTGTTAAAGAAAACCTATCGATAGAAATTGGATAGCAGTACTTGTCCTGCATATGCCTGTCTTTTCTCCCTGATTACACCCAGTTTCAAAAGAACATAGACAAATGGACATATATACAGTCATGAGAACAGTTGCATTGAATCACACAATCTCCTTTGAGATATTAAAATGGTTCTTAAGTGTCCATGTGAGCTTGCCTGTCTTGGCAAGCTCCTGCGCAGAAAACGTAAACATGTAACTGTTGCCCAAACTCCCAGGCTCAGCTAGCTTCTGGGCATAGCCCAACCAATCAGCTTTTCAGTTAACACACTCTCCAACTGATTTTTACATGCTCCAATACAAATGACATCCTATCTGTTCTCTCCATGATGCCATAAGTAGGTGTGATGGAGGAAGGACACAGCATTGAGGAGATCACAGTTTGAGAGATGAAGGGTATCATTCAGAGATGGAGATAGATAAAGTAGTGGCAGAAAGAAAGAGAGAAAATGGGCTTTACTTGCTTTTATTCTCCTGTGCGTTTTACTGGGGCTCATATTCAAACAGCAGGTAACCATATTACAGTATCCCCTCCTTTTTAAACATGTGCAAGAAGTACCAATTTCTTAACATCAGAGGTGACTTCCAGACAGTTTGATTTTCTCTTTTCCTCTCACTTCTCCTTTTCTTTTCTCTGATCCTTTCTATGTCTTGCATTTTTGCTATCTTGGGGTTCCTGGAGGCAAACAAATGGTTCTTACACCTAAAACACTGCGATTTATTACACTAATTTAGAACTAAAGGCTAAACTAGGACAATTTGATGAAGCTCCATAGCTAGTCTTCTTTTATTGAGTATCTTATTGAAAGAGAAAGCACGTTGTTTGTCTGTTTCTAATACGTATGACCTTTCCCCTGTCCTAGTTATTTGTCTTGATAAAGTAACTTTAGAGCAGAGGTTCTCAAATTGTAGTTTGCAGACCACTGTTAGTCCAATGGACCAATTCACAAAAAATTGCGAAAGGCAAGGATATGTTTACTTATCCCCAAGTTTGAAATATATACTAGCAAACCCCAAGTTACGAACGAGATAGGTTTTTTAGGTTTGATCTGACGTTGAATTTGTTTGTAAGTCAAAACAGGTACTTTTAAAAAGTGTAACTCCAGCCAAAAATACATATATACGAGGGGTATTTTTTAAGTAAGGTCCGTTGGAATATAAGTACACAATGAAAGTTTATTTCAAAAAAGTAAATTTATTTTCAGAAAGTACATACTTCACTCTATTTTTCGACATAGTTGCCAAGTTTGTTCAAACACTTATCATACCTCTGAACCAATTTTAAAATACCCTCTTCATAAAAACTTGCCGCCTGCTCCGATAACCAAATCGTCTGTAATCAAAGAAGGGCAACCGGAGCGGTCCTCATCATGGACGTTGTCACGGCCATCTTTGAATTGTCGTACCCACTTACGCACTTTGCTTTCACTCATAACAGTATCACCGTACACTTCACAAATCTGTCGATGAATTTCTGCAGCAGGCAGGTTCCTTGCTGACAAAAACCGTATCACCGAGCGAACCTCACATGCGGTCGGTGAGTTAATAGTCTTAAACATTTTTAAAGCACAGAACAGAACCATACAGGTTAGCTACAGAGCGGAAACTGAGCACAGTTGTTCCTGAGGCATGCCGGTACACAATGCACGCGCTTGTTGTGGTATGCGCGCGAACTACTAGTGTCTACAACAAAACGGACCTTACTTAAAAAATACACCTCGTATAAACTTTAGATAGTCTAGAGAAAGGTTAAAACCCTTGTGGTGTTTGTTTTGCTGGCAGTGCCCATGTTCAGAAGTGTACACCTCACTTTCTGACCCTCTGATAATTGGATTTTAAAAAAATTGGCTTGTTGTGGAAACATTAATTGGTGATAAAGCTTCAGTTTCGACTCCCTTTCCCCATAATAACTCTTTTAGGAGTGAATTTCCCTTCCTAGGGGTAGATTTCTCTCACTTCCTGTTGTCTCACCTCTATTCTTAACTATGAGTCGTTTGTAAGTCAGATGTTTGTAACTTGGGGACTGCCTGTATAAGCCTTGCATCATATTCCTAGAGAGATTGGGGATGTGATGCAAGATTTATAAATCCCTATGTAAAATGGTGTAAGGCAGCCACAAACATGGTAGCAAAGAATCAGCAAATAATTAAATCTGCGAAGGTTAAACCTTCAATCTTGGAGAGGCAACCATAGTGCCATTTTGACAAATGCCATATTATCAACCAGCTGAACACGGCTTTGTGATTTTTATCATTTGAATCTGGAACTTTCTATTCATTTTTCCTTCAAAATTTATTACATAAAGCACCCTTCTTGGTGTCTTGGGAAATGGCCACAATTGGTATGTACTGCCTTTAATAATGCTACCAATGCTGCAGGAGAAAATATTATTAAAGTATCAATTATTAATATACCTTGATTTGTAGAACAAAAGATTTGTTAAGTGATCCATCAAGACTTCAAGATTTCAAGTGGTCTGCGCATGCAAACACAAACATTTGGGAACCACTGCATTAGAAGCATTTTTCATTCCTTCTGTTGTTACCACCAAATGTCCATGTACTCAGAGCTGGATCAACAATAGGGGAAAGTCTGAAATGCTTACATTTCTTTCGCAGCTGCTACAGTTATACAGCATAGATAGTGATGGAAGTCCACTGCCACAGCTTTGGAGGAATATAAATAAATAAATAAATAAAATAATATTTTATTTGTATACCGCTCTATCTCCCCGAGGGGACTCAGGGCAGTTTCCAGCATAGATAAAGCATTGTAATTACAGACACAAAACATAATCATTATAAAACATAGACATAATACCATAAAACAGTCAAACATATTTAAAATTAATAGCCAGTTCAGTACTAATTTCCATCAGGCAAGGTCAGCTTCCAGTGGCCAGAATTCCAGAATATAGAAAAGCAAAGCATGATGTAGTGGTTTGAGTGTTGAATGAGGACTTTGGTAACAAAGGTTCACATCCACATGCAGCCATGCAAACCCACTAGGTGACTTTGAGCATGTTGTTCCCTTCCAGCCTCAGAGGAGAGCAAAAGCAAGTTACCTCTGAACAAACCTTGCCAAAATAAAAATATCATTATAAGTTTGCCTTAGGGTCTCCAAAAGTCTGAAATGACTTGACGGAACAATTACAGAGTTACCTCACTTATCGTGGGGGTTCTGTTCCAGGACCACCCGTGATAAGTGAAAATCCGCGAAGTAGGGACGACATGTTAATTTTAATATTTATACATTATTTTATATATTTTATATATTATTTTCTTACCTACTCTTCCTTACCCGCCTCCAGGCCCATCCCAAGGGCACCTGCCTGCCTGGCTGGCCTCCATAGAGCATCCGGAGCCATGCAGGCAGCAGCAGGCCAGGGAGGCAGGACTTCCCCGCTGCGCTTCAGGCCGCCACACTTCCYGGGTCTGTGGAGGCCAGGGAGGCAGGCCTTCCCTGCTTCAGGCCYCCACACTTCCAGGGTCTGTYGAGGCCAAGGAGGCAGGCCTTCCCCAGCGCGCCTCAGGCTGCCACACTTCCAGGGTCTYTGGAGGCTAGGGAGGCAAGCCTTCCCCGCCTCACCTCAGGCCGCCACACTTCTGGGGTCTGTGGAGGCCAGGGAGGCAGGCCACCCCACCGCGCTTCAGACCGCCACACTTCCGGTGTCTGTGGAGGCCAGGGAGGCAGGCCTACCCCGCCGCGCTTCAGGCCCCCACACTTCCGGGGTCTGTGGAGGCCAGGGACGCAGGCTTTCCCTGCCGCGCCTCAGGCCGCCGCACTTCCGGTGTCTGTGGAGGCCAGGGAGGCAGGCCTTCCTCGCCGTGCTTCAGACCGCCACACTTCCGGGGTCTGTGGAGGCCAGGGAGGCAGGCCTTCCCCGCTGCGCTTCAGACCGCCACACTTCCGGTGTCTGTGGAGGCCAGGGAGGCAGGCCTTTCCTGCCGTGCCTCAAGCCGCCACACTTCCAGGGTCTGTGGAGGCCAGGGAGGCAGGCCTCCTTCCCTGCCGTGCCTCAGGCCACTGTAATTCTGGAGTCCCTGGCCTCCACTAGATGTAAATATTTAATATTTAATATTTTTATTAATATTTTCAAAAACCTGTGAAACAACGAGTCCACTAAAAGCAAACCGTGAAGTAGCAAGGGAACACTGTACAATCTGGCTAGTTCAGTGGTTCCCAACCCAGGGGTCATGAGCTCGCGAAGGGTTTTCTGTGTGATCACAGGGCAGTAGTGTGCTATGAACATTTGGAAAAGTGGGGGGAGGAATCATGTCATTGTAGCCTGCGCAGAGACTTGTGATTGGCTGATTCTTAGTGATACATGTGTGCTGAGTGCCTAGCTTGTTTCTTGCGGGCAGCAATGTTTTTTTCTCTGATACCGACAAATTCTGCAAAATATAATAAATTGTATGTTGACACTGAATCCAATAATCCCTCTTCCAGGAATCTGATGCCCAGCACATTGCATAATTTCCCCCCTTTGGCCAGCCAGCCCAGTGGCCAACGAAGAGCAATCAACCACTAGCCAAGCAGTGCTGTAGGGCCCAGACACCATAGTCATCTTTTTTAGCAGTGCCAGCAGCTCTAATTTTTAATGTATTGGGGTCACAAATCATAGTGCCCCTATAAAATGAGATTGTGACTCGAAAAAGGTTGGGAACTGCTGGGCTAGTTAATAGTCCTGTCCAACTGAGATGGTAACTGGTTTTGTTGGCTGACTGGTGCATAGGTACAGTTCTAAAAGATAGGAAATGAAGTGGCACAATGAAAATTGAGGAAGCGAAAGTAATATTTCGAACAGCCCTAACTTAGTTGATATACAATTGTTACATGGGTCATTGAATGCAGAGATTTGTGAGAAGCCGTGCCAAGAGGTGCCCAAGTTTTAATTTTGTCAAACGCCATCACATTTCAGGCCAGCTCTGATTGTACAATAAACTGATGAGTTGAAATTTGCGGTGTTCTTTTCCCTAATCAAACCTGTAAATATCAATGCTAACACCCGTGTTTTGTGTCCCCCCCCCCCACCTTCCTTTCTCCCCTTCTTCCTTTTCCTTCTTTTGTCTTCTAAATCAATGTGCTTCTTCTTATGTGAATACTTATATATCTAGAAACAGCCTTGGAGTGATTTTGCTGTGCTGAATGGGGGAAAGATTAATAGTGACATTTGGAAGGCAAGTATATTGTCAGATTTTGGAGCACTTTAATACCTTGTTTCACTTTTTTTCAAAAAAGTATTTTGCATGGCCATGGCTGCATTTTTATTGTTTGCTGCCACAAATATCACTCATTATTGCTAATCAGCCAAAGTGAACTTCTTGTTTTTCATTGCTAGCAGAGGCCTGGCTTGCAAACGCACTACCTAATTCTGATGTTTTCCCACAAAATATAATCTGTTCAAATCAGCAAGGCAAACACTCACTTGTAACACAGCTGTGCCTGCACTTTGCAAACTGTGGTGTGAAAATACATGCATGCCTTTTATATGCATCAGCCAAGCACTTTGTCTTATGGCTTTGCAGGAATCATTTTATTTTCCTGTGAAAGTAGAATTCATTGGCTCAAAGATATGCCCTATTATTTAACAGGTTGGTTTTTTTCCTACCCCCTCTCCTTCCAGGATCTTCATGCAGCGACTGTAAATCCAGACCCCAGTTTAAAAGAATTTGAAGGAGCAACATTGCGCTATGCCTCTTTAAAGCTAAGGTATGAATTTATTGCCTATCATTACACCTCAATCCTAAGTGCAGTTACATGAAAACAAATAATTGGTTTCAGGAAAATAAATATAAATCCTATAATCATAGAATCATAGAATCATAGAGTTGGAAGAGACCTCATGGGCCATCGTCCAACCCCCTTCAAAGAAGCAAGAAAATTGCATTCAAAGCACCCCCGACAGATAGCCATCTAGCCCCTGCTTCCAAAGAAGGAGCCTCCACCACCACTCCGGGGCACAGAGTTCCACTGCTGAACGGCTCTCACAGTCAGGAAGTTCTTCCTAATGTTCAGATGAAATTCCTAATGTTCAGATGGAATAATAATAATAATAATAATAATAATAATAATAACCAGCAGTAAAGAACTGGTGGGATCATAAACCTGCAAAGGTAGTGGAAAATAAACACACAAAAATACTGTGGGACTTTCGAATCCAGACTGACAAAGTTTTGGAACACAATACACCAGACATCATGAATGTGGAAAAGAAAAAAGTTTGGATTATTGATGTCGCCATACCAGGTGACAGCCGCATTGAGGAAAAACAACAGGAAAAATTCAGCCGTTATCAAGACCTCAAAATCGACCTGCAAATTTATTTCTAATTATTTATTTCTCGCATTTCTATCCCGTCCTTCTCAACCCCTGAAGGGGGACTCAGAACGGCTTACAATGGGCCCCATTCCGAAGCAAATTACAAAATTAAAACCACAATTAGACATAAAAGCATAATTAACAGCCATAAAAGCCATAGTTAAAACAGTAAAACAGTCTCATCAGCCATATCGTCATTCCAGACACAAAGGCATAAACCAGTGGTCATCGGCACACTTGGTGCCATGCCAAAAGACCTCAGCTGGCATTTGGAAACAATAAACATTGACAAAATCACGATCTGTAAACTGCAAAAGGCCACCTTACTTGGATATATGCACATCATTCGAAAATACATCACACAGTCCTAGACGCTTGGGAAGTGTCTGACTTGTGATTTTGTGATATGAAATATTTTCAGTCTACATCTGCTTGCTACCTTGTAATAGAGATCAGTAATATGTGGTCCTCTGGAACTGGGCTTCTTAAGAGTTTTCTGCTCGTGACTCCTTTCGGCCCAAAACATTTTAATGTGACTCTGGGTATATATGTATATAAAATAAGTATAAAAGTCAAACTGATAACAAATCAGTATTTTCAAGGCTTGATAAATAGGCTGATTTTCCTATTTATGAAGTACAGCTGAAGCATCTTCTGCAGAATCCACTGCAGAACGGATTCATGAATATGTCAAAATAATTTTGGGAGTCCCAACATTGAGCTAATGGGGAGATCCATATGGGATCAGGACCCACAGTTTAAGAAGTGGTGCTCTAGATCAAAGCTTCTAAAAACTGGGTTGTGACCCAGTTTGGGGCCCACTAACTGCATGTGGAATGACTGGATTGGCCTTGAAGGAGCTGGGGGTGGTGATGACCGACAGGCGTGGACTGGTCCATAAAGTCACGAAGAGTCAGAAAGGACTGAATGAATGAACAACAACAACTGCATGTGAGGGTGGTGAAAAATTTGTATAGCTTGCCACCTAGTGGCTGTTTTAAACATCTACATAATTCTTAAGCAACAACATCCAGATTGAGGCTGAATCTGCACTGCCATATAATCCAGTATCTGATCCCATATTATCTGCTTTGAATTGGATTGTATGAATCTACACTGCCATATAATCAAGTTCAAAGCATATAATCTGGAATCAGATACTGGATTATATGACAGTGTAGATCCAGCCTCAGAAATACTTCCCTTCAAATTTGGATTCTAAAAAAGTAAGTTGGGTTCATAAACCATACTAAATTGAAATCAGATACATCAGTCACCTGCTATTAAAAGTTCAAGAAGAATTTGCCTGCAAACTGCAGGGAAGAAAAGCTTAGAGAAGACAATTATGCAGGGGGAAATGGAAGGAAAAAGGAAGAGGGGCTGACCAAGGGGAAGATGGATGGATGGCATCCTTGAAGTGAGCCCCCGGTGGCGCAGTGGGTTAAACCCCTGTGCCGGCAGGACTGAAGACTGACAGGTCGCAGGTTCGAATCCAGGGAGAGGCGGATGAGCTCCCTCTATCAGCTTCAGCTCCTCAAGCGGGGACAAGAGAGAAGCCTCTCACAAGGATGATAAAAACATCAAAACATCCAGGTGTCCCCTGGGCAACGTCCTTGCAGACGGCCAATTCTCTCACACCAGAAGCAACTTTGTCCTTGTTTGTTTCCTCTCTGTTGGACATCTAATCACCTCTCAACAAAGGATTGCTCCATGCTCTGCCAGGCCATCAAATGCTAATCAAGGTGATCAGTTGGAACATTCACACCTAGCTCCAACAGACAAGAGTCCTTTGTCCCACCCTGGTCATTCCACAGATGTTTAAACCCTTTTTCCTACTTCCAATAGACCTCACAACCTCTGGGGATGCTTGCCATAGATGCAGGCGAAATGTCAGGAGAAAATGCCTCTAGAACATGGCCACATAGCCCAAAAAAATCTACAACAACCCAGTGATTCCGGCCATGAAAGCCTTCGACAATACAGTAAATGTTTGATTTATATACCTGTTATATACCTGTGAAGGCCCCCGGTGGTGCAGTGGATTAAAGCACTGAGCTGCTGAGCTTGTTGATCGAAAGGTCGCAGGTTCGATTCCGGGGAGCGGTGTGAGCTCCGCTGTCAGCCCTAGCTTCTGCCAACCTAGCAGTTCGAAAACATGCAAATGTGAGTAGATCAATAGGTACCGCTCCGGCGGGAAGGTAACGGCGCTCCATGCAGTCATGCGGCCACATGACCTTGGAGGTGTCTACGGACAACGCTGGCTCTTCGGCTTAGAAATGGAGATGAGCACCACACCCCAGAGTCAGACATGACTGGACTTAATGTCAGGGGACTACCTTTACCTTTACCTATATACCTGTATACCCGAGGTCATAAAGATTATTTTTCAGGCAAAAATGGGTTGTAAGTGAAAAAAGTTTAAGAAGATGTCTTTGGATTTTTTTTTCTCACTTACTCATTGTCTTTGCTGGCTGTTGATAGGAATTGCTTCCCAACCTTATCTGGTGGTCTCATGTTCCACATCTCGGCCTTACATTCTGCAGAGGAAGCCCTGCTGCATTTGTGAGTTCACAAGTGACCACTTGAAGAACTACAGCTACATGAAAGCAACCTGTAGCAAGCCAAGGACTGTAATTCACATCAATGCCACCAGAATAGCAGAGGCACATAAATGCTCTTAGTATTGAAAGTTTCAACATTCTGAATTGTCCCTTTATATATGACTTTGCAAGCCTAACAGTAGTACTTCCTCACCCCCAACACAGAAATGCCCCGCAGTGTGATGAAGATGATTCCTGCAGCATCAACAGTGATCCAGAAGCCAAGGTCAGTAAACAGAAAACAAAAACTGTTTTTAAGAAGCCCTGGATCTTACTGTCATTATAAAGACTGATGCAATCACAACATTGTATACGTGAAATTATTAACTTATTAACTTAAGTTTAAGTTTTCTTATGTGAATATTTGATAGGGACAGCTTTAATTTACAGACGAGAAAAACTGTTTTTGATTCTGAAAGATTCACAGCACTTGAAGTTTCGTAATCCAAAAAATGAAAAACAAAAACGTATCTGTTGTGACTCTGAATACATGGCTACAATTTCCATCGTCCTCAGCCTGCATGCCTATTTGGAAAGGCCTTCTTAGCCTTTACTACAGATGGTATGATCCAATGTATTATTACAGAGGCCCCTTCTACATTGTCATATAAAATCCAGATTATCTGCTTTGAACTGGATTATATTTATTTATTATGTATTTATTATTAGGAGCATTTCTATCCCGTCCCTCCCACCTCCAAAGAGGGACTCAGGATGGCTACCAACAAGCACCATTTCGTGCCAAACATAATATACATTTAACCTACATTAAAAACACTTAAAACAGTTTGCTATTTCACATAATCTTCCAAATAAATCCATCGCCACCAGCTAAAGCAGTTCGCTAAAACCATCTATTCTACGAATGCTTGATCCCATAACCAGGGTTTGAGCTGCTTCTGGAAGGTCATGAGGGAGAGGGCAGATCTGATCTAATTAGGGAGGGAGTTCCACAGCCGAGGGGCCACCACTGAGAAGGCCCTGTCTCTCGTTCCCTGGATTATCTGTAGACTCAGATAATCTAGTTCAAAATTGATAATGTGGATTATCTGTTTTGATAATCTGAATAATATCACAGTGTAGAAGCGGCCTGAGAAGTATCTTCCATTTTTCAGTGAAACTTACTTCTAGAGTAAGTATTCTTAGAAGTGTTATTCAATACGTTTGTAAGACTTGGGTATTAACTCGGCAAAAATAAGAAAGAATAATTGAGTTTCATAAAAAATGACTGACTTTCTTTACTGAATTACATGTTGTTGTGTTTATCTATCTATTTATCTATCTATCTATCTTGTTTGTTTGTTTGTTTTTAGTAAGAGATATGTTTCTTGTTCTCTGTTGGAGTTTATTCAGCAGCTCGACAAATATTCCAAAAGTGGAATTACCTTGAATAAATCTGAATATAGTCAATCCCCAAATTACAAACAAGATAGGCTCGGTAGGTTGATCTTAAGTTGAATTTGTATGTAGGTCGGAACAGGTACTTTTGAAAGTGTAATTCCAGCCGTGTGTGTGTGTGTTTGTGTGTGTGTGTAGCCCCGGTGACACAGTGGGTTGAAGTGCTGAGCTGCTAAGCTTGCTGACCGAAAGGTCGCAGATTCGAATCTGGGGAGCGGCGTGAGCTTCCGCTGTCAGCCCCAGCTTCTGCCAATCTAGCAGTTCGAAAACATGCAAATGTGAGTAGATCAATAGGTACCGCTCCGGCAGGAAGGTAACGGTGCTCCGTGCAGTCATGCTGGCCACATGACCTTGGAGGTGTCTACAGACAACACCGGCTCTTCAGCTTAGAAATTGAGATGAGCACCACACCCCAGAGTTGGACACAACTGGACTTAATATCAGGGGAAAACCTTTACCTAGCTTTGGAGAGCATAGGAAAGGGTGAACATTCCTGTGGTATTTGTTTTGCTGTCTGTGCCCCAAATTTAGAAGATTTCACCTCTCTTGTGAGAATTGGATTTTAAAAAACATGGCTTGGAAACAAGGATGGATGAGAAAGCTTTACTGGAGACACCTTTACCCCATAATAATAAGTCTTTCAGGAGATAATTTCCCTTTTGAGGGGCAGATTTCTCTCACTTACTGTTGTCTTCCTGTTCTTAATATGAGTCATTTGTCAGTTGGATGTTTGTAACTCGGAGATTGCCATATATTTGCTGAGCCTTTCTAAATCTCACAGGGCCAACTTCTATTTTAGAGTTGGTCCTGTGAGGTTTAGAAAGGCTCAGCAAATATAGTACTTTTACATTGGTGCAGATTAGGTCATAGGAGAATTGTGAAAAATATTTGATTTTGAAGGAAATGGAGCAAAAAGCCCTCGTTCAAATGCACAATTTTTATAAATGTGGGAGTTCCTTACAGCCAGGAAAATGCCTTTCAGTTTATTTTTTGATATTTCAGGAAAAGTGTTCAGTTTTTCACAAATGGCAGAGTCTGCCACCTTGTGGTCAACTGTAAATACTTTCCAAAATACAAAGACTGAAAAGATGGCTATGGAACTGTGCATAATTTTTTTTTCAATTTACTTATGTACTTATTTACTTAACACTAGCAGTCTAAGGGCCCTTCTACACATGCCATCAAACCTGGAACTAACCAGGATTAAAAGGGGTGGCGGTGGCTATATGACATTTAGGGAAAATGCGGGTGGAATTGGGTTAACAGCTAAAAAGTATGTGCTTAAAGAGTGCACTTAAAACCCGATTTCACCCAAAAATGTGCACGGTCACATGACTGTATATCCCTTCAGTCATGCAAAACATGTGACTTCTTTCCGAGTTCCCTGTGTGGACTGCTCCAATGCACGTGCACATTTTAAAAGTCTGAAACAACTGACCGGTCTGTTAAAAAATGGAGCCATGGACACACAAGTGGCTAAAGGGAAGCACAATTGGAAAGCAATTAGTATTCTGTGTAACCTTTCCTTTCTTTCTCATAATATTAAACGGAGCTTGAGTTAACAGTTGGGCGAAGAGAGATAAGAATCTGCTTGTGTGAACATTAGGATGTGTATATATGAAGTCCAACACATCTCAGAGAGAAGTTTTTTCTTTTAAGCTTCTGCTGGATGTTCCCTGTCCACCCTCCATCTTTATCCACTTCAAGGAAAGATATGAGGACGGTGGGGGAACATTTCCTAGGATTGACATGTCTGTGTGTGGACTTGCTGTCAGCCTTCAAGGAAAGTGGAAATCTTCAATTGGCTTATCCCTTCAAACCCATATTAATTTACTCATTTGGACAAACTCAGCAGCCTTAGCAATCCATTCTTACATCATCGGTGCTTCCGTCCATTGCCAAGTTTGAGTAGAATCATAGAGTTGGAAGAGACCCTATCCAGTCCAACCCCATGCCAAGAAGCAGGAAAATTGCATTCAAAGCACCCTCAACAGATGGCCATCCAGCCTCTGATTAAAAGCTTCCAAAGAAGAAGCCTCCACCACACTCCAGGCCAGAGAGTTCCACTGCTGAATGGCTCTCACAGTCAGGAAGTTCTTCCTAATGTTCAGATGGAATCTCCTTTCTTGTAGTTTGAAGCCATTATTCCACGTCCTAGTCTCCAGGGCAATTTTCTTGGTGCTGTTATCATTTATCAAATGATAAATATTTGTGAGTAGACATATTTGTCTCTTTCACTTTGTGTAAAGTTAATATCTGTTCAAGGCCAGTTTTTTTTTCCTGTCCCACCACCTCATGAGTTTCTGCTTCTAAAAAAATCCACATGAACATATTTTGTACATTATTTTCTGTAGTATTTTTTGCTTTTTGCATTTTTAATGTGCAATTTTTCATAATGTGTGCGTTTTTGTACACACTTTTTGATTGAAGGAGTGTATTACAACGTTGAAAGCAGTGGGTAGGCCAAAGAATAATTTCATTTTGATTCACTTACTATTTTAGGAAGTGCAGAGAATGTCCGCTCATATTAAAATGTGAACCAAAGCAATTTTACCCACACTCCTAACAGATGGCAAAAGAAAACTGAACAGGAGAAGACAGATACATAATTAAAATTTTCACCATTTATAGAACTGGATTTTCAAACTGACTTTCTACATCTTTAGCTAAATTTCAAGGAAAAAATAAGGATGCAATACTATATACTCATAGAATCATAGAGTTGGAAGAGACCTCATGGGCCATTCAGTCCAACCCCCTGCTAAGAAGCAGGAAAATTACATGCAAAGCACCCCCGACAGATGGCCATCCAGCCTCTGTTTAAAAGCTTCCAAAGAAGGAGCCTCCACCACGCTCCGGGGCAGAGAGTTCCACTGCTGAATGGCTCTCACAATCAGGAAATTCTTCCTGATGTTCAGATGGAATCTCCTTTCTTGTAGTTTGAAGTGCTAGTCTCCAGGGCAGCAGAAAACAAGCTTGCTCCCTCCTCCCTATGACTTCCTCTGACGTATTTATACATGGCTATTATGTCTCCTCTCCGCCTTCTCTTCTTGATCATTTTAGTCGCTCTTCTCTGAACACATTCCAGTTTGTCAATATCTCTCTTCAATTGTGGTGCTAGAATTGGACACAATATTCCAGGTGTGGTCTAACTAAAGCAGAATAGAGGGGCAGCATGACTTCCCTATACTCCTATTGATGCAGACCAAAATCCCATTGGTTTTTTTTTGCCACCGCATCACATCATATATGTGAAAAAACACAATGGGATTTTCCCTTGTAAATATCCATAATACTGTATTGAATTGTGAAGTTCTGACCTTAAGCTCAACAGAAAGTTACGTCTTCCATTCATTGTTTCCCTTCTAGATTCTATAGCAGTATTTAGAATACAGGGCAATTCACATTTTAAAAACATCTACCCCTTACTAATGGTGGTTAGTACTTTAAAAAAACAGTAATGTGTCTCTGTATAGGCACTTGATCATGGTCAGCAAGCCAACATACTCTTATGGCCTTTTTGCTTGCTTTGTTTAGTCAGGAATATCAGGGAGTTCCTACACCTCAAATATTATTCAGCACTTAAATGTTTTGTAAATCAAATATATTGACTATCAATGCTTTGCCACTGCCTGCTTCAGATTTGAGCACACAAAAGATGAATGGGCTAGAAATTGTCCTTCCCATATCCTCTTGTACTCTTTACTTTACTAATCATCAATAGTCGAATGTTCCACTAGCAGCGCAGTCAAAATTAGAAAGTAATTATCAATTTAATTAATCCTCTAAGGATATATTAGCTAATCTTTTTCATTGATTTCATCAGAT